CAAAAAGTAAACCCTGTAACAAAATTAATAAAAATATTAAAATTTTCTATTTTTTCCGACGGTGGTGCCGTCTCTCTTTCTAAGAGCTGATTATTTACATTCCATTCACAAAAACATCATAACAGAAAATAAAAATAAAAATTGATCAAACCATCAAATTCAATATTTTACCAAGAATAATTAAACTGTACATGTTCATAAAAGCATATTTAAATTATAAAATTCACCCAAATCCTAAAAAAAAATAAAATAATAAAATAAAATCTAAAATTCACCAATCAGCACATTGGATATTTAAATGCTCTTACAAGAAATAAAAAATAAAAAATTTCCAACAAGATCTCAATTTTGAGCCTATTTCAAAAATCAAGCTCCAAATTCCTTACTTCTAGAATCAGATCTTCCCCTCGGCAAAATTTATCCTTTTGACCTACAAATAAATAGATAACAGTTGCAAATTATAATCTTTTGGAGAAACCAACTATTTAAACACCAGTAATGAAGACAATGAAGACTGTGGAAAGAACACTTACGTTGTCATCAGGAACAACTGCATATCTCTCAATTGGAGAAACCAAAGCTTTCCCTGCTCACAAATAATAATAATAATAATAATAATAATAATAATAATAATAATAATGGAATTCAATGTAGTCCAAAATAGTGTAATAAACTCTTATTGTAATATACCTGGGGAATTTTTTCATGTCTGATGGGTGTCTTGGATTGTAGAATACACAAATTTATTTTGTAAGAACTCACATGCAGAGGGTCCATCATAAAGAATTGTGAGAAGAATACTAATATGTGATTACAATTGTGAGAAGAATACTAATATGTGATTACATAGAGAAAAAGAGAGAGATAGACAGACAGATAGAGAAGAGTGATGAGTCAGAGTGAGAAAGAGAAGAGAGACAGAGACAGAGAGAAAGAGAGAGATGGACAGAAAGAGAAGAGTGATGAGAGAGAGAGAGAGAGAAAAGAGACAGAGACACATAGAGAAAGGGAGAGAGAGACAAACAGAGAAGAGTGATGAATAAGAGAGAGAAAGAGAAGAGAGACAGAGAGAAAGGAAGATGAAAAAATGGGTGAAAAGAGAAATGTTCAAAAGAGTAAGACGACATCGTTTGTAGTGGATCGATAAATCGAGAAGGAGCTCGATAAATAGAGAAGATGAGGGTAATAAAGTGACTAAGGCGAACATAGTGAGGGAGAGATAGACAAATAGACAAGTAGACAAAGAGAGAGAGAAACAAGAGATGGAGAGAGGGAGAGATAGAAAAAAAGAGAGAAACAAGAGATGAGCGAGATATAGACAAAAAAAAGAGAGAAATAGAGCGAAAAGAGATGAGCGAGAGAGAGAGACACAGAAAAAGAGAAAGACAGAGAGAGAAGAGAAATGAGCGAGAGAGATAGAAAGATAAGAGAGAGAGACTCTATTTTTCTATTCTCTCTATCGTTCATCTCTTTACGCTCTCTTTTATTTGCGACGGCACACTTGCCGTCTCAAAAAGTCACTTTTTGCGACGGCAGAAAATGCCGTCTCAAAAAAGTAGAGTATTTGCGACGGCAGAAAATGCCGTCTCAAAAAAGTAGAGTATTTGCGACGGCAGAAAATGCCGTCTCAAAAAAGTAGAGTATTTGCGACGGCAGAAAATGCCGTCTCAAAAAAGTAGAGTATTTGCGACGGCAGAAAATGCCGTCTCAAAAAAGTAGAGTATTTGCGACGGCAGAAAATGCCGTCTCAAAAAAGTAGAGTATTTGCGACGGCAGAAAATGCCGTCTCAAAAAAGTAGAGTATTTGCGACGGCAGAAAATGCCGTCTCAAAAAAGTAGAGTATTTGCGACGGCAGAAAATGCCGTCTCAAAAAAGTAGAGTATTTGCGACGGCAGAAAATGCCGTCTCAAAAAAGTAGAGTATTTGCGACGGCAGAAAATGCCGTCTCAAAAAAGTAGAGTATTTGCGACGGCAGAAAATGCCGTCTCAAAAAAGTAGAGTATTTGCGACGGCAGAAAATGCCGTCTCAAAAAAGTAGAGTATTTGCGACGGCAGAAAATGCCGTCTCAAAAAAGTAGAGTATTTGCGACGGCAGAAAATGCCGTCTCAAAAAAGTAGAGTTTTTGCGACGGCAGAAAATGCCGTCTCAAAAAAGTAGAGTATTTGCGACGGCAGAAAATGCAGTCTCAAAAAACAGAGTATTTGCGACGGCACAATTTTCCGTCTCAACAAATGAGAGTATTTGCGACGGCAGAACTGCCGTCGCAAATACTCTCATTTTTTGAGACGGCAAATTGTGCCGTCGCAAATACTCTGCTTTTTTGAGACGGCATTTTCTGCCGTCGCAAATACTCTACTTTTTTGAGACGGCATTTTCTGCCGTCGCAAAAAGTGACTTTTTGAGACGGCAAGTGTGCCGTCGCAAATAGTTCCGTCTCATAAACCCACTTTTCTTGTAGTGACATTTTTTTTAATTTATAAATTCATTTATAATGATATGATAAGGGGATAGATAAAAAAATTAATATTTATTATATCACATCATTATGAATTGAATTGTGAGAAGTTTTTTGATAATCTCAAATATTTTCTAAAGTTTTATTTGCAAAAATTATGAAAAATGAATTTTAAAGGGTGCAGACGTCCCCGAACGTCCCGGGAGGGAAATCCCCCGTTTTGTTCATTTGGACTCACTACAGTTCATGACTCAATGTCACGGTCCTGTATCTAATCTCGCAGAGTGCAATGCAAGACCGATGAATCATTAAAGAGTCCAAATCCGACAAATTGTTTTTGAAAACAGATTTTTTGAAAGAAGTGCCAAACATGGACTGCTTTGCCAGATACAGAGTCGCCACCTAAATATTTTATTTTGGAGAATTTAAGAAACCCTGACTCATTTGCCTAAGGCCACGTGTCCGTCATCACCAAAGTTGCATCGACTCGGGAACTTAGGTACGATTGGGGAAGGTCACTTCGTGAGCACCCCCGCTCCCTCGATCAAAGATCGGCCTCTACTAACCATGATATCGAGTTTTGAAAACATTATGTGCCCTTATTCCGGTTATTAGCTTAGATTTACTACGTGATGCACACAGCATACAAGTATAGACTGGGTCGCCTGAATTGGAACAAAACACCTCACGTTTGCTTTCGAAACGGTTTGCTACTCGCAAGTAGGCTTAAAATATAGATTTTGCCACCCTCGGGTGGGCTTAGAAAACATGGTTTTGCCACTACCAAGTGGGCTTTAAAACTCGCAATCGATGAATTGTCCCAATCTAAATAACCCAACCTTCACCCACAGGCATTTAGGCAGATATATCACATAAGCAATTAGCCTCATGGTAAGCATGCTATCATGGCAGTCACCCACACACATGCAAGGATGCTAAAGCATAAACACTCACTGAGTACTCCAAGCCAAAACAAAAGCTATGTTAGAAATCCATGCATGATCCTAACTATACAGAAATGCCTAATGCAACACATACAGAAATGCAACTAAGATAGGCTCGGCTATTCTAAAGATGGCATATGAAATGCTACAACTAACAAGTATTCAACTTGGAATTGAAATACAATGCAGTTAATATGATGCACTGAGCCCGGTGCATGCAATACAGATGAATGATGCAAACATGCAAGCATAAGTATGCTAATTGAAACATGCCCTAATTTAACCATCATAACCTGGTAAATAAAAGGGAGAAAGACGTGGGGTTGGAAGACATACATCACGCACACGCACACGCACACTTATTACAATTGTGCCCTCGCTCGGAGGGTTCGAATAAATAGTATACAGTCCGAATAAGTACAAAACCCTAATTAATTAACAAATTAACTAAGAAATGAAACAAACTAGTATGCAAAGCCATGGACCGCCTCAGCTCTGTTCCGAATGATGAATGATGCATGCTTGCTCGAGTCGCCTCGTCGGGAAATTCCTTGTGATGCCCCGATTCGCCTCTGTTTGCAATTAATCCCGGAATGCTGTGCAAAGCTCTAGAAGGCTGCTGATTTCTGATTTTCTGCAACAAAGAGCAAGAAAGGGGCATGGCAAAGCATTTTCACACATGTATGCACGACCTCGATCCTTGTGCCACCAATCACGCATCTCGATGCATGATGGCCGAGGAGTCAAAATGCACGACTCGATGTGATATGAATGCACATGAAAACACAAACAAGGCCTAGACTCCATCATGGATAATCCGGAGTGTCGGCGACTGGGAATTGAGGCACGTTTCGTCACTTTGAGTACGAAACGTCCCTCGTTTCTCGTGTTTAGACTAAACCCTACTCCAAACACAATGCAATATGCATGGCATACACAATGCGACTAACATGCAACCTAGCATACGCAATGCTATGAACTATAATGGCATGCACAATGCACATACGAAGGCTATCATGCGTACATGAAGACTATTAATGATATGATCAAAGCATACACAATGCAATGGCCAAACATGCAACAATCATGAACTAAATGGCATGCTCAATGTAAGATGGACTTACACCAATATGAGTGGACCTCAGCCACACTCAAATCAGTGGCCATATGATGGAAATGAGACGATCGAAACACATGCAAACATGCACGGATGCAAAGGACCGATCCTAAGGCATAACATGCAACTCTAACTAAGCATGGCAGAGGATGAAGTATGGCATAGAATGACACATGATACAGCTCTGAAATGGCACAAAAGATGTTCCCGAAACATGCAAATATGTCACACAATGCATGCTATGGGGCCCGGGTACCGAAACTAGTAAAGTGCGTTACACTAGAGGTACCCAAAGCGATACACTAATGGCAAAACCAACCCCAAACAGACCCTAGGTAGGTCTGAAACAGTGGGGAAATGGCCTAAAATGATGGCTCGGAATGCAAAGAAATGGAGCTCATTCAATGGTCCGAAAATAAGGCATTCGTGGATAACTCTCAAGCACACTTAAGGAGTAGAAAACATGGCAATATGGTATTCATACAAGCTCTGAAATATGATGTATAATGGACCCAAAGCATGAACACACCTCAGTATATGCATGGAATGAGCCTCAAAACTCAAAGTTAAGCATGGGTATTGAACTACAAGCATGCAAAACAAACATCATTCGACCATGAGACCTAAAAACAGAGCTAAGGCAGTCCAAAATATGCATAACATCAGTTTAAGGCATGGCCAAAAAGTTCTAAAATCAAGGGTCAACAAAGCATGCAAAGAAAGCTAGTGAACCATGAGTTGTACTACAACTATATGAAGCATATGAGAGCTCACCAAACCAGCCAAAAACAGAAGTATGCAATGCCAAAATATGCCCAAAAACCCACTGAAACTCAGTCAATGCATGTAAGAATGATAGGCTCCTTTGGAAAGCCATGCAATGGGTTATTCTACACATGTATGATGGACATGCAAAATGGCAAAACCACATCTGGAAAGAGGTTATGAGGGCCCTAAAACCCACCAAAAAGGCCCTGAAAAGAGTCTAGGAAGCATGCAAATAAAAGCCCCTTTGAAATGCCTTGAATAGGATTGCTCTACACATGCATAATGGACACTTTATATGGAAAAATGGGCTCTGCACAGAGCCTAGGCAGACCTTAAAACTTACCAAATAGGGCCTGAAAAATGGCTTTGAAACATGCAAGTAGGATCCCTTTTGGAAGGCCAACAAAGCTAGTAAACAAACCAAGGGGTGAGAG